CCCTGCCCCTTCCCGCGCCCAGAACGCGCTTCTGGCCGCCAGGTTTGCAGCACAAACAGCAAGAGACCGGCGGAAAGAGGGACGCCGGCTTTTTCTCCCGCTCCGCTTTTCGGTAGATCAAAGCGAGCGCACAGCTTGAAACAGTCTTAGGTTCTGTTTCCACTGTAAATCAGCCATCTGCGGGAGAGCAAGCAGAAGTTTAGCAAGTAAGTTATTTCTCCGTCGTCTTTAAACTGATTTGTCTTGCTGAAGTTCCTGCACAGGCGTGGCCATGTGTGACATTTGTTGCTAGCAGTCCATTGATCACACTGGCTTGCGTCTTCAGCCACCCTGTAAAAGTATTGGCCAGTAATTAGGAAGTCATATGCATAATTCATATAGCATATAATGAGGGCAGAACTTTCTGGAATTAGCAATGCAATGCTCTGGAAAGGCTTAGCCCCCATATTACTGGCTAGGGAAATTGGTATTTGAATGGAACAAAAAAAAAAAAGAATGAGCCTTCCAAAGACTGACTGCAGCAGACTTTGAATAATGGACTCCCGACACTTCTTCCTAACTTGCTCCAATTAATTTATTTCTTCTATGCCTCCATACGTCTTAATCTCTGACCAGGGTTGCTTTAAGGTGGCATTTTCAAAACCAGGGCATTAAGTTGCATGCCTAAGGGAGTGGAACATCTCCCTGATGAGGAGAGGCTGAGGGAGCTGGGTCTCTTTAGCTTGGAGAAAAGGAGACTGAGGGGTCACCTCATCAATGTTTACAAATATGTAAGGGGTGAGTGTCAGGGAGATGGAGTTAGGCTTTTCTCAGTGATGACTAGTGATAGGACAAGGGGTAATGGGTGTAAATTGGAGCATAGGAGGTTCAAGGTGAATATCCGAAAAAGATTTTTTACTGTGAGAGTGACAGAGCACTGGAACAGACTGCCCAGGGAGGTTGTGGAGTCTCCTTCACTGGAGACATTCAAAACCCACCTGGATGCGTTCCTGTGTGATGTGCTCTCCTGCTCTGGCAGGGGGGGTTGGACTAGATGATCTTTCAGAGGTCCCTTCCAACCCCTAGGATTCTATGATTCTATGATTCTAAGGCTGCTGAACGGCAACACTTTCTCAAATTCTCCCACCCAAAGTGAACCACACTCTCAGTGGAACCTCACAACCCCCTTAGCCCCATCGGTGTTGCACAGCTGAATGTAAAACAGTACAGGCAGGAGGGAAAGCCAAGGAAGACTCAAGACCAGCAGTGCACCAACCAACTGAGCAAAGCAAAAATGCTGAGTCTTCCTTTCAGAGCTGCACTGCTGCAGCAGTTCTACATACAGCACAGAAGGTGAAGTGCCCCCCAAGCCCTCAGCAAAGCTGGCTGCCTCAGCCATAGTTGCAGCACATATCCAAAACGAAGGTTAGTAAAATATTTTAAATAGGTTCTTGTTCAGTTTTTTTCCCCTCTGCGGAGTCCTCTCCCTGTTAGCTCACAAGGAAAAGACCATCTGTAACTGAGCCATGCAGAGATCGTGACACGTTAACTTGGTAAATCATTAGTGGGACAGACAGCGCCGAAGTGGATTTTTGCCAGATCAAATACTGCCTTGTTCTGATCACATTGCTGCTTCCACGCCCTATTTGAAACATTTCACTGGAAAAACTGCAGGAAACATGTCTTCCATTAAATATTTTTCCTCCACCATTTGAGTATTTCCCTGCTCAGCACATCTTGGTAATATACTGTGGAGGCTGAACCCTAATCCAGATTCAGTAGGGGGAGGGAAATCTTCTCTGAAGAGGAATTGCTTTTTTTGTTAGCCACCCAGAGAAAGCAACAGAGTGTGAACTGAGGTATCCCACAGGAGCATAGGAGCACTGATTTTGACCTCGGGGCTACAAGCATGAAATGCTTGTCCATGTTTTTTGCTCCTATTCTTGCCACCAAACAAATTCCTTTTCAGTCTTGGTTGGTTTGTCTTTTTTTTTTTTTTTTTCAATCACTCTTCATCTCAAAGAAGAAGTTTTAGAGGTAGGTAAGGGAACTTGCTACACCTGGATGAATAATAAAATAAATATTCGCTGAATAATTCATCTCAAAGAAGAAGTTTTAGAGGTAGGTAAGGGAACTTGCTACACCTGGATGAATAATAAAATAAATATTCGCTGAATAATTAATTCATTGCACCATCTATTTCCATAGCATTAACATACAAAAATGTTTTAAAAGCCATCAGCTATTTTCAGAAGGCATTGCAAAATGAATCAGATACATTACTTACAGGTTATTATTCTAAACAATATATTTTCTTCGTTCTTTATTTATTTCACCAATGCTGCTAAAGGCTTGTTGCTAATATGTAACTTTCTGGAGTCTTCTCTTGACCAAAGTGTCTGTGTAATTGGTGATACCAACTCAACCTTTTTGTAAACTGTAATAACCTTGGTGGGCATAGGCTTTTGGGAAGTATTCTGGGGAAATAATGGCTAACTTGTTTCCTTTGGCAATCTCAAGCAGGTCCTGTAGATTATAGTAAGAGGCTTTTTTTGGGGTTTATATAGCATGAGTTTATATGCTAAAATCCACGGGGCTGAAGTTGCTGAGTGTTTCTTCAGACAGCATCAGTCCATACAGTAAGTTTAAAAAGCTTCCACCACTTGAGAACACCAACAGAATTTGTCCATTGATTTCAACTATATTGTATCAAAGTATTCCTGCAGGTAATTATCAAATAGCCTTTTAAAATGTTTCAGATAAATATGCCAAATAAACATTTGCTTTCTGCAAATAAAAAAATTATAATTTTCCCACATTTTACCCTGAAGGTTCCTTACCATTTTTCACTTCCTTTGCAGACCTTGTACGCAATGAAAAGATTGATTATGATTACAGTAGTAACTGAACCAGCTGTACACTGTCCAGAACTGTTTTGGCAAAGGAGATGGGGTTCTGTTTTCAATATGAAAGCCATTCTTGTAGCTTAAAGCAGATTTTTGAAATATGTATTGCTATTATAAACACAGAAACATGGCACTATTTCTCGAGGCATTTTTGCAACCGCAAAGAATTTTTAAATCTTTTTCTATTTGACATATTGAAGCAATGAGTAGAAATAGTAAAGCTCTTGAAGGAATTTCATTTAAAAGTTATTAGTATGTGTTACTTAAATAGGCTTGGTATTATTCCTAAGTGTTGCATTCTTGCCATATAATTATGTTTTTTTCATTACTCTTTTAATGGCATTTCCTTCTCATTAAAACAAAATTTTGGAGCAGGAAAAAGAAAGCCAGATGTGGAAAAAAATGAAATTTTGTATGTGTTTATCTTCTCAGCTTTAATTTCTGGAACCCATATGGGGCTCCCTTTGGCTTTTTATGAGCTCAGGGCTACAATCTTATGCTTTTGACTAAATTCAGACAATATCTGTTAACAGTTACATTTTAAACTGGACTGTACATCTCCACTTTCTCCATCCCATGCCAACCATGTGAAGTTCAGTAAGACCAAGGGCAAGGTCCTGCACCAGGGTTGGGGCAATCCCAAACACAAAAACAGGCTGAGCGGAGAATGGAATGAGAGCAGCCCTGAGGAGAAGGACTTGGGGGTGTTGGTTGATAAGAAGCTCAACATGAGCTGGCAATCTGCTCTTGCAGCCCAGAAAGCCACCGTGTCCTGGGCTGCATCAAAAGAAGTGTGGCCAGCAGGTCAAGGAAGGGGATTCTCCCCGTCTACTCTGCTCTCATGAGACCCCACCTGGGCTACTGTGTCCAGCTTGGGAGCCTCCAACATAAGAAGGACATAGAGCTCCTGGGGAAAGTCCAGAGAAGGGCCATGAAGATGATCAGAGGGCTGGAGCAGCTCTACTGTGCAGACAGGCTGAGAGATTTGGGGCTGTTCAGCCTGGATAAGAGAAGGCTCCAGGGAGACCTTATAGCACCTTCCAGTACCTGAAGGGGCTACAGGAAAGCTGGGGAGGGGCTTTTCACCAGAGAGGGCAGTGATAGGACAAGGGGTAATGGTTTTAAACTGAAAGACGGGAGATTTAGGTTAGAGATCAGGAAGAAACTCTTTAGTGAGAGGGTGGTGAGACAGTGGCCCAGGTTCCCCAGGGAGGCTGTGGATGCCTCATGTGTTCAAGGCCAGGTTGAAAGGGGCCTAGAGCAACCCGGTCTAGTGGGAGGTGTCCCTGCCCATGGCAGAGGGGTTGGAACTAGATTATCTTTAAGGTCCCTTCCAACCCAAGCCATTCTTTGATTCTGTGATCCTGAGAGTGAAAGTTTGGTGTTCCTTGATGTGTATCTACCATGGGAAGATTTTAATAGCAATTATTTTCCTAAAAGTGTAGAAAGAAATGTATACATATTTTCATTATATGTCAGTGAGGTAACACAATCAACATACT